AGTTTACTTCATTGTTGAAGTTTGAGAAACCAAAGTCTAAGTCAACTTTGTCTTTGCAAAATTCGGCGAATGACGTTTTATTTGTTCCCTTTACGTCTGTAATAGTGAATGGGTCTTGTGTTGGTGCAATGACTAAGTTATTTTTGCTTGGAGTAAGTTCGATAGAAATTTTTCCTGCCCAGTTTGGCAAGTATCTTAAAAACCTGAAGATGAGGAAAGATGACAAAGGAACTCTAAGTTTCAGTTTTACTTTAGTGGCAGCAGTTCCATCTGAACCAGAAAGGTTAACATAAACTCCTGGAACGTTAGGGTCAAGTCTTCTTATTTTCTCATATTTGCATACTGGTCTGTTTGTTCTCTAGCTTGTGGTTGTACTGAGTTTCTCAAAGCGAACCATTCATAGTTTGCCCATGTTACTGTTTGAACTAAGTCAGAGTTAGAATATATCTTATATCCCATGAAAACTTCTGGAGCATATTGGTATCCGACATAGAAAATTCCATTGCAACCTTTCTTGTCAGACAACTTGGCAGAAGGTTTTATTTCAATGTCTTGTTCCACGTATAAGAATGAGTTGTCAATAGAAATAATATGAAACCTGTCGCAAGCAATATCTACTGTTGTTGAAGAACCTTCTCCAAACTCACCTACGTTTCCATAAGAAAACAGCAGTTGTATATTCGTAAGTTCCAGGAACTATTTCTGACCTTCTAATGGCATTGTCGCATTCGTTATACCATTCGGAAACATTTCCGTTCATGGCATCCAAAACTGTTGGCGTTATATTCTGAGCGGCGTACATTTCATATGGGTAAAAATATAGAATAGTTGGATTTATGTGTCATAATAGAACCCACTCGGACCAAGCTTTACTTTCTTCCTGACTGAGTTTTAACTCTTCTTTTTCCTTCATTGCCACTACTTTCACTAGATGAAGTTACTTCTTCACTATTTTCACTTTGTTCTACCTTCTTCTTTGGTGTCGCTTTTGGTAACTTGCCCTCTGCTTCAAGTTTGTTGCATCTTTGCCTCATGTTCACCTAGTATGTTGTAAATTTCCCATGTCCTTTTTGCCTTGGGCTCTGGTCGCCCATCTCAGGTAACCTATATCCTAGAAAGATTTTGTCATAGTTTGTATTTGAGTCTTCGCGTATTGTTTGCATGACTCTTTCCTGAGTTTCCGGTTCAAGCTCTTCAAACAGAGCTTGTCCATATGGAATAAGCTCGTTTCCAAATATATGTTTTTGTAGCCATTCTGGTTTTCTTTCCATGTTACCAATAATATCTTTTGTGAATGGGAAAGCTTTTACCCAATGTTTCAGTCTTGCGTCATTTATTTCTGTAGTTGGTTTTATTTTGTCAAGGAACATGTTTTCAATACTAACATTTCATTTGGTACTGTCCATTTGAGTTTTCTTAAATATTCATCCATTCTCGGTTCATTGTCTGCAAAGTAAGTTTTTATGACATTTTGCAAACTTTCGTTTGCAAGGTCATGTACAATAGGTTCTCTTCCTTCTCTCTCCCTAACTTTCTTTCTAAACTCTTCACCAAATATACCATCTCTATGGTTCTGTGTAGTTCTTTGAGATAAATGTTCTAGAACGTCAGGTGTTATATTTCCATCAGCCATGTTCATTTCATACTGGTTCAAAATATCTGCATCTTTCAATACTTTCAATGGCATTAAAGCCGCGCTGAAAATACCAGCTATATCTGGTTCACCATTCACTTCCATTGCGTCTACAACTTCTTGGAATTGAGGTTGTAAGTTTATGAACCACCTATCCGGATTAGCTTTATGACCCCATCTCATTGTAGTTCCATAGTCTGCAGAAACAAAAGTAGGTTTGTTTCCATATTGGTTAGGTTCTGAATGAACTTTAAACAATGTTTCATTTCTATATGTTTTGGTGAAATTTAACCTTTTATTTTCACCGAGTTCAGCCAAAGATTGAACGTTATATGGTCGTAAGTAAAAAGGATTGTTGTATTTGCGTACACTTTCTTTCAGTTCTTCCATTCTATGCTGAATATTTTCATCTGATGTTGGAGTCTTTTGTATGTCGGCGAACATTTTTCGATATATTCTTACTATGTCAGCGAATTTTTCTTAGACTCTTGGAAAGATTCCATATTCTCCGCATACTCTTGTTGAGGGTCAAGATTTTTCGGCTGTTCCAAATCTTCATCTAGTTCTGTGAAGTTAGTTTCCAAAGGAGGGACTTGTTTGTTTCCTTCAGGCTCTTCTAGCTGTTGTTGCTGAACTATTTCTTCCATGTCTGGTTGTATCTGAACTTCTTCCTGTGAGTTTCTTGTACCTCATCTGCTGGCATTTCATATATTCCGAGACCGTTTTTAACAAGTTCCCTATTTAAGTCATCCGCATTCATAACCCTTTCTTCTTTCGTTCCGTCTCTATTTTTTACGCGTTTCATGAAGATAGTTGAATTATCATTTATCTCTGACACCAAATATCTCGGAGTAAATTCAGTCATGTCATTTGGATGATATGCTATTAAATCATATCCCTTAGCGAGCTTGTATTTTCCAGGTTTGAAATTATATCCCATTTGGTGCTGAACCATAAAGCTAAATAGGTTCGGGTCAGTATTTCCCTTCTTGAACTTTCTAATAGCTTCTTTATATCTGTCACTAAAGTCAAGAGTATCTGGGTAACCATAATTTTCCTTAAGCATTTTTAAGAATTCTTGGTTTCCTTGTTCTCTACTTCTTTTATGTCCTTGCTCTGTTTGTGGTTTGTTGCTGTGCAGTGTTTTGAACTGTTGGTTGTGGTGCAGTGTTTTGAACTGTTGGTTGTGGTGCAGTGTTTTGAACTGTTGGTTGTGGTGCAGTGTTTTGAACTGTTGGTTGTTGTGTTGGTTTTGGTGCATGCCTGTGTCTGTGTCCATGTGACGATGTAAATGTTTAGGTAGTCCTGGTGCAGGTGCTTTCTCTTGGAGGGTTTGGTGGTATATAAGTTCCACTAGCTAGTATATAAGTTCCACCAGCTGGTATATAAGTTCCACCAGCTGGCACATATGTTCCATCTGCAGCATAATGTCCTACCTGACTTTTCGTTTTTAAGAAAGCATTTACTAGGTCTGTTTTGGTCTGTTGTAACTCTTTTTCTTGACTTTCCACAACAGTTGCTCTAACGGCGTCATAGGCACTTTGAACTGCCTGTCTCGTTGCTGCATCTGTTATTTTCGTCATATTTTGTGCTACTTCTCTTAACTCTTTGTCGAAACCTTCAGACTTCAGTTTCTTTCAAGATGAGAAGTCGTTCACTAGTTTCACCTTACTATGAAGAGCTTCGAAGGCGTTCTTAAAGTCAGCATTCATTAAAGCTTCATTTGAACTGTCTTCATCCGCTTGTATTTTTGTCCTTATTGACCCTATAAGTTGGGCTGCTTTAGCGTTGGCTTGGGCATCTAACCAGTCATTATTAGCTTTTATATATTCTGCGCTTTTCATTGCCTTTTGCATGGCTGCGTCGTTATTTTTACTTTCTTGTGCTAAGTTTTCATACTGTACGGTTTGGTTTTGCAACTGTAAAAGTTTTTCTGCCTTTACATTTGCTTCAACTTCTTTTTTATACTCATCGCTATCCATATATGTCTTCAGGGCTTTTTGTTTTATTTCTTCATCTTTCAGTACTTTATATTGAGTAGTATGGTTTTTCAAATTTATAACATCTTGTTCCATTTTTGCTACTTCTGCTGGTTTTTCTGACACTTTTTTCGCAATTTCCTCTGTACTTAGTTCTTTCAGTTGTTTCTTCTTTCTTCTTTCTCTACGTTTAACTCATTGAGTTTCTTTGTGTGTCTGTCATATTCTAGTTTCTTTTCGTTTTCACTTATTTGTTTCTGTATGTCTATGTTTGACTTTTTGACATCTGTTATTTGATTTTTGAGTGAACTCAAATTCATTTGACTTTGAGGGTTATAAGCTGTTCCGTCTGCAGCTCCACCATAGCCTGCCATTTCGCTAAAAGTGCCGCTCTTAAACCTCCACTCTGTGCACCAATAACTCGGTTAAAAAGCATAGGGTTGCTTGACATTTGTTGCAACATAGTGGGGTCATTCATCATTTGTTGTTGCAACTGTTGTTGTGGTGTCAGTTTTACTATTGGATGTTTCAATGCTCTCTTCCTCTTACGTATATTCTTACGTAGCTTACGTGGCATTTTAAGTGAAGTAAAAAACGGTTTTTGACAGATGTTTATATGACACTTTTTGTTCAGCACAAAAAAACTACTCGGTCAAAGTGTTGTCAGTTTTGTAAAATAACCGTCCTATCTTGTTTTAAAATGGAGAAAAGGCTTCTCAAAGTATACTTCCTTGGAACGCCCGTAACTTTTCCTGTAGCGACGATAGACCCTTACTTGTCCGGACAAAGTTATACTAAACATCTTCAGGGCTAGAGGGCACGAAGTGCCTGGAGGCCCCACTACCTTTTTTTTTTTTTTTTTTTTTAAATTCGATTCCAATAATTTTGAAGATCAAAAAAATCAAAAATTTTGAGCCGAATTTTTCAAAAATTGAAAGGAAAAGACAATCAATATAAAATTAGATTTATCATTAAAGGAATTAAGATAGTTGCATGTAAGCATGGAATATGTGTAGCTATAGATTTTATTAGATTTGTATTCGTATTATTAATGACCGTAGATATATTGTCTTTGTTAAAAATTTATCCGAAATCTCTCATCCGAAAAGAAAATGAATAAAAAAGGTTAAGTCACTTTTGAATCCAAAACTTATTTCAAAACTTGAGCATACCTTATTGCTTTTAATTGAGGCTCGCAGTTCGTCACAAATAAAAACCGTAAATGTGATTAAACTCATTTTCCTTCATAAAGTCTCTTACATAGTTTAAGTAGGAAAATGTGTTGAACATTTTGCTAAAATGGGATTGTTAATTGATATCAATTGATATAATATAAGATTTACATAAATTATAAAAGAAAAAACAATAAACAAAATATTAAAACAAAATTAGTTGTCAGAGTTCAGTTGTTGGAGATAAGGGTTTGTTGAAGGAGATAGTGCTTCTAAGTAAGGAGAAAGATTGCCTTTCTTACGTGAAACTCTGCTGTTTGTCTCAACAACTTCGGCATTATCTCCAAGATCTCGTAAATGAAGATGTTCATCACTGTGAGAAGAATCATCGAATTGATCATCGTCGATGCCTGGATGATTAGGTGTGAATGATGGGAAATCGTTGACAATAGGACTTGTTGATTCTTCACGAAAAGCACGACAGCATTTGTAGTTGCTGTTGCACATGAAACTGACAAAACCAAAGAAGATCATCAAAAGGATGATACTCAAGAAAACAAAATAAAGGATTCGTCGAACTGCTTCGAGTGTTTCAAAGTCATTGTAAAGTTGTGAGTTGTTGAAAATAATTGATTGATGTGTCAGTTTGAATGTTGTTGACAAGTTCATAGACAAATTCAAAAATGTGGAGACACTGTGGTTCATAACAATATATGTGTTCGCATCTGAGTAACTGATGACGATCAAAAAGATAGAACGACCTTCAATTTTAACTTGTGTTGTCTTTGTGATGACATTTGTATTCGATTTGTCTTCTGGAATGAATGCGTATGCGAGATCTCGTGTACCGAGTTTTGATGCAATGAAATATTCTGTTTTGACTGGTGTCATGAAGAGATAACAATAATTCGTGTTTTGTTCAAATGTAAAATTTCGTGGAAGATCAGTGAATGGACGAGTAATGAGGAAATATGAATCTGGGATGTTAGAAATACCGATGTAATTGCATGAAAAAAGATTAGAAACTAAATTAACAATAGAATAACAAATGAAATAATTATTGCTAGAAATAACTGCGGTGCCACCAATAGGAAGGAATGAACCATAGTTGTATGTATATGATGAAACATTACCAACAAAATATCCTTTTGAATCATAAATTTGACCTTCAAAGTCAACATTATGAATTGCAATGATAGAATATGAATTCATCATTGTGATGTATGCTGTTGATCCATATGTATAAAGGAATGTGTCTGCGTTATGATGTGAAACATATATTTTATCTTCTTTGATTGTTTCATTAGATAAAATCTCACGGAATCTATTATCTGATTGATACAACTTTGAATAATTTATTAATTGATATGATGGATTTTCTGAAATGTGGATTTTGATAGATTTTGATTCTGAATTCTTCATCGAAATAAAGTTCAAAACAAAGAATTTCGCATTGAATTTGATATTAAATGAATTAGTATATGAAGGAAGAACTCCAATGAATGAATTCTTTGATCGATAAAATTCAATTTTGTCTCCTTTGTTGTCGAGAATTGCATCAACACTTACGTTGTATCTTTGTGGTGATGAAAAGACAAAAATAATGTTATCAAGTTCATTTATCATCAAATTTCGTGTTGAATTATAAAAGGGAGAACAAATCTTGAAGTCTTCTGGTTTCGTCGTGAAATAAATCTTTCGATATCCACTGCTTGGAAATGCTGTAACATAAATATTAAATTTATTAAATGTTTTAACAATGACTTTACCTGTTTTTGAGCCAAAATCAAACAAATTGGTGAAAGGAATGCTGTTATTATCAATCAATGCTGTTTTTTCTGTGTTTTGACTATCATGGATGTAAATTGAAACTGATTTCAAAATATTAAGAACTAATGTTTGGTTTATAAGCAATTCTAGTGATCTGTGCGTATATGTATCAATGTTGATTGTCAATGGAATGTGTGGATCGCGTAAATCTCTTTGTTTAAGAAAAATAGAATTTTCAAAATCTGGAAAACGGCAGAAGAAAGGAGATAAATCAGAACAGTTGCTTGTAATAGTAATATTGTGTTCATAATCAACGTCATTTCGATAAACAGCAAGAATCGACTTGAAATTTACATTTTTAAGAAAAATTTGAGTTCTTTTTTCTCCTGGTGAATATATATCGTATAAAATAAAACCTTGTTCGTATATTGTTGAGTTAGAACTGTAACAAAGCATCAAACAATACTCATGTGATGATTTTGAAATATTTAATGCTTCATTTGTAATATCTGAGTATAAAAAGGTACTTTCGCAGTCAATGTCCTTAGTAACAAATGCTGTGAATGAAATTGTAGTGTTTAAAGCGTTCGAAAACAAAATATTTCCGCCATTTGCACCGAATCGGAATATTTTGTTATCGTTAGATATGTTTTTCAATATCTGATCGTTTGTAGAGATTTCTATTGTTTGATTGGTGTTTCTGAATAAAATTGTTGTCTTTTCAGGGCAATTCACAATTAATTGTGAAAATATCGTCATACGGAGGTTCAAATCGTATACTTCGTCTGTCAATTTAATGCATGCTTGCCCATTTCGAACTAATAATGAAGTTCCAAACTTGAATTCTGTGTTAAAAGGTTTGATATCATGATTTTGGTATGGCGTTTTAGGTGTAATTCTGAGAATAGAATCACTTGTCATTGAATAAACAATGATAACTGTTAATCTTGAATACTCAGATTTAGAAAAATTGGAAGAAACGTTATAAATTTTGTAGGAATCGATGTTTGGGTTGCAAAATAAGAAGCATGTCGTAATATTATTGAGTATCTGATAACTTGCATCGTTATAGACTGATCCTGAAACGTTGAATTGATCAGAACTCAATGTTGAAATAACAAGTTGTGATGCTTTCTTTATTTGGTTGTTAGAATCGGGGATAACGATGGTATAATGAAGGAAGTCGAAATTGCCTTTTTTATGAACGAGTAATCTACCTGTTTTTGACTGTGTATTGAGTAGTGAATCTGATCGTGGAGTTATACTGCATATAAATATCTGTGTGTTGTCATAGAAATCTGCTTGATAATTGGCAGAATTGTGAATTAAAAGAGTCGTATATTTAGATTTTAAAGGTATCTCAACGTCATCGGTATCCCTCATATCAACAGTATAAGTTCCTGATTCATTATAATCGGAGATCTTAACGATTGATACTAAAAAAGATAAAGCAAGCATAAATTTAAAACAATTTCAATGAATTTTATTTTTTGGAAAAGGAAGTCGGGTAATAGATGAGATTTATGGGTCTCAATATTTTTTCAGTTTCTGAATGCCTTTGAATTTTTATGAGAATTGAGAGGTTAATTTATTTGACGGTAATAATTTCATCGAATATTAATAAGTTATATTCAATGATTATTTCATGAATTTTTTGAAATAAAATTGAATCCACGTTTCGTATGTATTAACGAATTGATCTGTATGAATGCTAATAATATCTAAAATCTGTAAAAAAAGGAAAAATGATCGCTTTTCATCCAAAATTTCGATTACTTGTAAAGCAGATATGCGATGAAAATAACATGAACTGGTGTGATAGATGGTATTAAAACGAAATAGATTTACTTATCAACAATAAAACAGAGAAATAAAACAGAAAAACTAAAAAAATTAGTTAGTAAAGCCGAAAAATTCCATTCTAGACAAAACAAGGTCATCATCTCCATAAGTATTTTTCTCGATTTGCCTGATTCTGATAGCCTTTGTATAGTATTCATTCTTAGGAACTGGAAAATAAATCGGAGATTTATTTAATGGTTTTCCTTTAATTGTATCGATCACAACCCATTTCTTATTGACCATTACTTCGACTACCCATGATTGCATCTGATTGTAATCAATATCGCACCTTCCTTGAAGAGTATATCCAGTTAATTTCACGTGCATCGATTTGAAGTCGATTCTGACCCATGAGTTCGGTTCATTATGTGTCTAGAAGTTTGTGTTGTTGTCTTTCTTAAGGAGAAGTGATATAAATCCTGTATTTTTGGATGATGAACTCAAAGAAACTTTTCCTTTCATTGTAGACATTGAAGCAAAGATTCCTGATAACAAGTCATGTCCGACTTGATATTCTTTTTCGGGAGAACTCTTTTTACGTGAAGATCTTGGTGTTTGTGTCGGTTCTTCTGTAATTGGAGTTTCAACGGTCAGATCTTCATGAGGAAGAATCGCTGGTACTGAAATTTTATGGCTTTTTGGACTGGAAATTGAATGTTTTGATTCTTTTGGTTCTTTTGTAAAACGAGCACAAATATTCTTCCAAATTGGCTCGCTCGGGTTCTGTAAGCTGCAAAATTCCATAAATTTCTTCATCTCTGAATCGCCAAGTTCTTTAAATTTAATAAATTCAAATAATGGGAAATAATTTTTGCCCTTTTCATGAACAATATTGTAGATTATGTTGAATAACTTGTTCTCGTTGCGCATTTGAAGGTTGGGATGAGATAAAATTTTAGATATGAAAAGGTAACTAAACTCCTTTCGCCGATCCGATTTGCTCCATATTTAAAATATAGCTTGCATATGTAGAAGAAAAGCTAATTTTGAAGTACGCCCGAAATCCACCAACAGGATTTCGAGCTACTAAAAAGGTACTTTTAAATGTGATTTTTTTTATAAAAAATTAAATTTATTTTTAGATCAGACTAAAAACTAATTTTATGGAAAATCTATATCGACAAATTTATTACTTATTGGGTATATAGATTTTTTGATTATGGCGATTATGTCTGATATGCTTCCAATAAGCCAAAACACATTTCATACTGATTTCTATAAAAGGTATCTTTATTATAGAAGTGTAAGCTATATCTGTTTGTTTTTTTATTATAACAAATTCAAAATTCTCTTATAAGGACTAGATGAAATCTGTATTATTAAATCATTAGCTAAATGAAGGTTCAAATAGAAAGTAAATATCAATTTATATGATACTGAAACCAAATAGTTCTTTTAATAAAAGATAACACGCTGAAAATTATTGAGTATTTGCAAATCTCAAAAATCTATTGGTGAATTTGGCTCAACTCTTAAAATTATAACATCCATATCAAATCATAAAAGCAGACAAAAATTAAAGCCAAACCTATCGGCCAATTTTTTTTGATATTTTGATTTTTGAGGTATACTTTTAAAAGTGGATTTAAAGCACTTATGAAAAAACATTAACTTCTGTCGTTATGATTATTGATTTAGACAATAATGATTTTAATCTTTGATTATCAAAACACTAAAGTCATCTTTTTAACATTTGCTTGGTAGCATTAACTCAAGTCTAAAGTACTATTTTATGTGGCACTCTTAGAATTTTTGTATTCATTGTACACGCTGAAATAGTACCATTAAAGTTATGGCGGACTTTCAAAAAATAGTTTGGTCACCTTTAGATATGATGAAATAATCAAGGGACTGCAATTATTTTTCATCAAAATCGAAAAAGTTTAATGAAATAAAAGAAACATCGTTGTCAATGTTCATGTTGGCTTTTTCTTTTGACTTAATTGAACGGATTGCATTTTCAAGAGTGACTTGAGACTTAAAAACAAGATCATGCAACTTTTTGTTGCATATTTCAAGTAATTCTTGGTTTTCTAGCTCCTTTGCGTAACTTTTGATTGTATCAATATTCTTCTCAGTGATATAAATCTGATTTCCTGAAGCAAGCTTTATTATATCACTAAACACTTTGTTGTTATCTGGAGTTTTCAATGAAAGGGATGAAATTGTTGCGTTTTCTTTGAGGATTTTAAAAACTCGTGGTGAAAGAAAAACTGCAAGAGCACGTGGCATCATATACTTATTTCCACTAGCTACGAATGTGAAGAATTCCATTGATGATAGCCGATCGACATATGAAAGACCAGCAGATGAGAGCTGAAAAGGAATCATTTCAAAAATATGTTGTAAATTCAGAGAGAAAAAAATCGGATTTTTAAATTTTACAATTAAAAATATAATTATTTATGGAAGAAAACTTTCACGGTTAATTTTCTATCGGCTCTCAGAATTTACTGCGTGGTTACGATAATGTCTTTCATATGTTAGCCTTATTGATGTAGTTGAATTTTAAACAAAATCGTTAATTTATTAATAAATTCAGAGAGATTCATGAATAAAAAATTCTGGAAACGTTTTTATTTGACAATCTCATATGCTGAGATATCGTTTCAGGATAATGTCGATATCTTCAACAGCGATGATATAAGCTTTTTGATCTAGTTTGAAGGCCAAATTAGAAGCTTTTTCGCTTAAAATAGTGGACATTCCTTTGCCATTAAGTTTGCATAATTTCATTTACTATTATAATATGCATAAGAACAATGTAATGACTTATTCTGTGTTGGCGTAAGCTTTAAAACGAAATGAAAATCTTTCATTGATTGAAAAGCATTGTATTTTGTCCTAAATGACAGGAATATGCATTTCAAAAACTTTAATATAAAATTATATTTCAATATTGCTTCCATTGAAGAATAAAAATCGTTCGATTTAATATCAATTTTTGAGGCTGAAATATTATGGTTCTACATAATTTTCTATAACAATTAAGTAGATCCCAATAAAATGCTGAATAATGAAGATTTTTATTAACAATGATTCAATTATGTGTTTGAAACGATATTTTGAGGGATAAAATATCATGCCATGTATTTGTTTTGCTATTAAATGCAATTTTTCCAGTTTCCAGATATTCTTTAACGAGAAAGTTTTTGAAAAAAATTTGTTTGTTATCTTAGATTAAAAATAATTGATATTAAAAATGAACTTAAAATATATTTTGAATATGATTTCAAAAAATGAAAAGAGTCAAAAATTATCACAATGTTTGAAAGCGAATTCAATATTGTTTTAAAGATTTATGTTTGGAATTGATATCAGAATTTATATCAATAGGAAATATTGAAAATTAAGAAATTCAATTGCTATCAAATTGCTAAATCTAACTTTAACAATTTTCAATACTGACAAAAAATAAGTGTGAAAATTATCAGATCATATATTTGCACAGCATTTAACATTTAAGACTAGGAAATATGATGTTGGAAAGGTAAGATGTTACCTAAAATAACAATTAAAACAAACAAGAAGCCAAAAATGATATTTTTGAATCAGCATAAAATAGAGAATTTACAAATATTACTTTTATCAAAGATTGAAGCATCATCCTATAATACCATGATTTAGGTAGAATTTTTTATTTTGTGAATATATTTGGTGAGGTTTAATATACATAATTGAAATTTAAACATTCCATAATGATTAAATCTAAAGAATTTGTAATGATTTTTCATGAATTTCAAAATCCAAATTAACAAATAAGCAAATATATTTAGGAGCGAAATATAGCTAACTAAAAATAAATATAAAAGTAACTATTTCTATTTAATTTATAGAATATATGTTAATTTAGATAAAATCGATAATTTTAATTATCAAGGATAGCGGTAAAATAATGTAATATTATATTATTTTATAAGGAAGATAATTGTGTTATATGCATGAATAGTTAAAAAGAATCGTTTTACGTTGATTATTTCTGAGCGGTAAGGATTTTAACGGAAAATTAGGGTCAATATCAAATAAGAAAACCAAATATCAAGTTGTCTACAATCTTTATTGTTAAGAAAATTTTGAAAAGATTAACAAATAACATTACTATTTATATTTGATTAAGAAATGTATATCAATTTTATATTATAATGGTTCAAAGACGAAACAAAAGTCATTTATCAAATATTTGATAATGATTGGCAAAAGAAATTTGACATGGTATTCAAAAATATTTTAGCAATAATAAAGTTTGGTGTATTATCAAGTAAGAAGCAAAATTAACTTGGATTGGCTTTTAAAATTGAGATTAGCCGTAAACTTCATATAATCATTATAACATGTCAATTTTTCAAATTCAATTTAATTATTTAACAATTTCTATTTATTTATGGTACTGATTAGGATTTATAGTATCAAAACTTTCAATTTAGATTTCAATTAATTTCAATACTTTTGGATTTTATCAATAAACATTGCTTATAATTACACAATTAGTTGAATCATATAATTTAGTTATTTACCCTCTCAATTTTTGATAGGAAAGTAAATGTCCGGACATTTATCTTTTGAGAGGAGTTTTTTACATCTACAAATAATAGCTGCTGATATTATTTTAAATATTATTATTTATATTTCTTATTAAAGTTTATATAATTGAAATTGCCATTAAAAAAATTCTTTGAATTGAGAGTAATTACTGTCTATTCACATTATAAATAGATGAGCAACGTTAGAAAGATCAAGTTCACACCAGAAGAAGATGAAAAGCTTAAGAAGTTAATTAAGCAACTCGGCACCAGAGACTGGGAAGTAATTTCCATTGAAATGAAGACAAGAACAAGTCGTCAGTGTCGTGATCGTTGGAATAACTATTTATGTCCAAATCTTAGTAATGACCCATTCACAGAAGATGAGGATCAGCTGCTGTTACAGCTGTTTGAAAAATATGGACCGAAGTGGAAAAAGATTGGCTCCTACTTCCCAAAGAGATCTACAAACAGACTTAGAGGCCATTTAGCTTCCTTACAGAAGAAGAAAGAACAGATCCCGCCGAAGAAACAAGAGGATAGCCAATTCCCATCTCCTTCCCCAGACCCGTTAGCACAATTTAAAGCTATGTTTTCATCGAATAATGATCCAAATCTTGCTGCCTTATTGCAGATGGATGTTGATCCTTTCGCTGATTTGTCTATTATCGAAATGTAATTAAACTTTTATCTATGGATTATACTATTAATTATATAACTATTTTTGAGGCCATTCATCGATAACATTCATTAATTCATATTTAAAGCATTACCAACGAATTGATAAGATTATTTCTTCATTCATTCCCAAATAAAATATAGTTATTTTAGAACATGATAAGGAGTATAATTAATCTTTTGAATCAGTTTATAAGGTGATTTATTTTTTGATAAATATTCAAATTGAATGCATCAGTATTCAACTTTCATTTTATTGAGAACATCACAAAACTAAAATGTTAAATTTGATAACAATTCAGTTAATATATGTTGTTCAAATAAAAAAGTAAGCTAAAATTTGAATTACTTCTCAAATTTTAAATTCTATTATTCAAAATTGAGGACGTAACGTCTCTTTCGAACAAACATATGTTTATTTATTGAAAAATATACTTGTACAGCATGCACTACATAACTAACTTTTAAATGTTGTTTCAAAAAATAAACTACATAAAATAAATTTATCGACTGTATATCTCTAATTAACATTAAATGTTTATTTCAAAGCATGAGAAATTCCTCTGAAAAGCCGAAAATAGCTTTTGAATAGAACCCCTTTTTCTTTTCCACAGTGAATTGAAAGCATGAAAAACGGGTTGTAAATAATTGAAATAGGAGGCAAACGATCACCTCATTCTTACATTCATCTATCTATCTCATGTACATTGTTTTTGTCACTATAATTGATTATTTTTTCAGAGACGATAAAAAAAACTTGATGGTCATTCAAAATATGGTTTGGCATTTGAAAATGCAAGGAGGTTTTCTAATTATTGATTGTATAATAGGTATTAAATCAATATACAGTAACAGTAATTAACATTAATCAAACTTGATATTGTTGTACATGCTGTGAACAAAGATATTGGATGATGTGAATCCTATTCCACCACATAATAATGAAATACAAATCGAAATAAAGATTGCAAATCCGAAATAGCAACAAGCTTGAAAGATACAGTTCACCGAAGTGTTGCAAATATAGTAAAAGATTGAATATATAAATGTAGCTATGCCTGCTGAGGCAGGATATATAAATGATTGCCATTGCCAATGATGGTTTTCTGATTGCAACAATAAATAGACAGAAATTATCGTTGAGCAACACGCGTTGATCGAAATAAGAGTAATGGATATTGCAAGTAGTTCGAATGGATAGAAGACATGTGGACCCCATAAAGATAATAAAATGTAATGAAACTCAATTGTGGAAGGTATTCCGCATACTATAAGCGGGAAAAATCCTAGCCATGGAGCTTTAAGGTACCATGGCTGTTTTGGTATCTTCCTTGGAACTAATTTAACTTCGCATTTATTATCCATAAACATTTTTCGTTTAACTGCGAGAGCACCTCCCAATGATGATAATGGCATGAAGAAAATTATCATTGCTATCAAAAAGATGATGATTTGCATGATCGAAGGTCCAAACGTGGTTTTATTAAGAATTGAAAGCAGCCAAACAGGTAAACATATGCATATTGCTGCTATTGGTACTATGGAAACAGAACCAATAGATATCCGGATCCATTTATGAATTCCAAACGCTTGTGCCGATGAAACTGAAAGTAATCCACATAATGGTGATGTAATAATGAAAAATGTAAGCAAAAATGGCATACTGGATTTTGTTTGCCACATAATTAAAGAATAAATTAAAACAAAAACAAAAATTTGAACGCCAGATCCGCATAGAATAGTTAAAAGTTGCATTTTAACTGCTGGTCGGAAAACGTCACCTCGAACTGCCTTCCATCCTCTGTCGTTTAATGATTCAAACTCAAATCCTTCAAAATTTTTCATTGAAACGAGTTCTTTTGTAGAAATCTTATTGCTAATGAGAGCAACCAGCAATATAAGTAGCATTGAAAGTATGGACGTATTAAAAAGTGAATATAAATGTACTGAAGTTTTTGTAATTTTTTCATTTCTGATTCTCTGAAGTCGCTTTTCATTAACTGTATGGAATGTAGCTGATAGTGTGAATGTAATTTCCTTATTTTCTATTAGATCAACAGGTTCGGAATCTGTTGCATTGATATCCGTAATTGTTCCGTTAATTGTATTGATAGAAAATGATATGTGTGAATAAATTTGAGCTTTGTCTGATGCTGTTGTTCCGATTCTGATCCAAGATGGAATTCTATCAATGGTAAACTCCATAACATAATTATGCTGAATGACATATTGTAGAGTTTTAATTGATTCTTTTGTAAGCGTATTTGTACAAATTGTTTTATTAGAAACATTTTTATTGAAATTAAGCACTACATCTGTGAACATTGGCTTAGAACCCATAAAAGAGTCTATCCAATTATGTGGTCCGTATATTGTTTGTTTTGGTTGACAAAATGATATCCGGGAAATATCAAAAGTCAATGAAGGATTATCATATGGATAAACTTTGTTGGCATATACTAAAATATTGTCGTTTTGCTTGTACAACTGTGAATTCTTATAAAATATGATAAATGAAATCATTGATTTTTGAAAGATTTTTTTTATATTGATGTCACATTTTTATTCAGAAAAATAAAGTCTAATTATATTTTAGTTGCATTGCATTATCCCTTAAATTTGTAAGAAAATTTCTCGATATCATATCCAAAAAAATTGATTTCAAAATTCAAAAAAAGTAAAAAAGGTGCAATTACATAAAAATAATCAAACAAACAATAATATTTTACAAAACAGTAACGCCAACAACGGTTTCTCTCTCTTCAAGATGCTTGAGAATTCTTTTGATATCTTCATCAGCGGATTGATTAGAAACAATTAATGATGAGAAGTCATTTACTTGTTCACTATCAATTTGATGAAGCATCTTTCTATAAAAGCCCAAAGTTCCTGAAATGTCAGCTAAATACAAAGAATTTCTTATGTTTGAGGCAGCATCATTCAAAATATCTGCTTGATTTGGAAGAGAATTCTTAAGTGCTGGTATGTAAATGGTCAATCTCTTTATAATGAAGTTAAGAGCCTCAAGCATTGGCGCGTTCATATCGAAGAACATTTGGGAGAATTGTTCAATTGTATTCGTTCTCATCATTTTAATGATAAGTGAATCTTTTGAAACGCAGTAATAAATAATAGAAGAATTGTCTATTGAGTCGGGTTCTTTGTGTCCAAGAGCTTCATATCGAGTCAAAAGTTGATGCCATTCATCTTTGACTTTGCCTGTATTTACATCTGGAAAAGCAATCAAGTTCAAAGTGAGGAAGTTCTTCAGAGTAACATGAGCTATATCTTGGTTTCCAGACAGTAAAAGGCCATTTTTAATGAAGGCTCCAATATGTTTTCTGGCTTTAATGAAATCTTGTACAAGAATGTCAAGGAATTCCCAATAATCTATTGGATAATCAGTGGAAGTGAATTCCTCGCATGGCTCCCAGAATGGAAATACTGCTTGATGAACGCTAATAGCATCACTTGGTAAAATTGTGATCATTGAATCTGATTCATTCAAAGATTCATTTGCAACAATAGTAGAAACATCTGGCTTTGCATATGCAATGGAAAATTCAAGCATTGTATGGAAAAATCTAAAGCAAGTAAAGTCATATTCATTTTCTAAAAACTTATTAAACATTTTGAAAATGTAATTCTTAGAATCAATAATATGAGCTGATTGAACGAGTATCGTAGTCATTTTTTGTGTTAAAAATGAAGTTTGATAAATCTTGGAAATATAGGAAGAAATAACATGGTCGAAAGATCTAAATGGAGATGAAGGATCTTCATTATTTAGTACTGTAATAAATATTGTGCAAATCTTAGGAAATAGCCAGTTGAAAGTTTTAAATTCTGTATTATCAGTTTGTTTTACAAATTCGCTTTGAATATCTTGATCTGAATCTATAATAAATGAAAATACAGTATGTCTTAATGGAACATAACGTTCATCAACAAGTTCTTCTGTTAATAATGATAAAGCTCTGTCAACGCTATCTACCCTAGTCAATTTCTTTGAGTCCCTTCTCTTCAATGGAACATTTGGAAGCTGGTTGTTTGAATTTGTTGGAGCTATATAGTTATCGGATGTTCCAACTCCAACATCATTGAAGGCAACTGCATTTGAAGAAGTTGGCATATCTAAATTAATTTTTGTGTTCTTTAAACGCTCATTTTCTTCTTTTAACATTTGATTTTGAAGCCTCATTTCTGTGATATAAGATTTCGCCTGTTCAACAACCATAACTTCATTGTTTAATTCGTTTTTATAATACTTTTTAGCAGCTTTTAGTCTGGTAATTTCATTCTGGCAGTCAATAATATACTTTCTTGTACCGTTATTTCGATCAATTTGTGCCTTTAATTCTTGTTTTAGGGTTTGTATTTGTCTATCTTTGTCATTGTTTTCTTTTTGTAATGTTTCTAAACGATTGTTAAAGTTTAAAACGAGTTCAGGATATAAATCTAGCAAAGAATTGTAAAAAGATTTAAGCTTTGCAAGAACTTTTGAATGTTCATTGCTTATTTTGTGGAGTTGAAAACATCATTCGTTCCATGAAAAGTTGTAAATGTCTAGAAGCTGTTGAATAATTTTATATTGATCCTGAGGTTCAAGTTTTTCGTAATCATCAAGTGGCACATGAGATAACTTTTCTTCCAATTCTCTGAAAACTGATCTAGCCTGAACATCGCTTGTTTCTTTTTCAAAAATATTTCTAAAATGAGTCAAATCTTGTTCTGTTTTAATACCTCCATGTTTAAATCCAACTGTATTTGATGATTTAACTTCAATGGGTCTTCCGGTTAATATTATTGGTTCATCTTTTTTAATTTTTTTCTTAATTGAAGTCGATGTCCTTCTTGGAGTAGGCATGGGGCTTTTTGATATAGTAGGTTCGCTTGTATCATTGGATATTGAAGTTTTTGAACGAGCTTTTACTGTGATTTTTGAAGTCATTACTTTTAAATGTACGTTAAAAATTGTTAAAATTTTTTGATAAGGAATTCAATTTTTGAGAAATTCTCCATTCATAAAAATTTTATTGAATGAAATATGCTAAAATAGCCAAATTAGCTGATTGGTAATATATATCTTGTAATAGTTATTGCCATTTTCACTATTTAAATTGCTAAATATACAATCTTTTTGAATGGATCAATTTAAACCTTTGATTTCTTTATTTTTTGTTCATGTAAAGAGTCCTTTTAACCATTAACTATAGCATTTAAATATATGGTAAATTCTAAAAACGATCAAAAAGCAAAATCTTTTGTATTAGATTTGAAGAAGAAAAATCTAATGTATTTGATAAATACCAAGGATATATGCGTAAAACTACTTATGCTATTTAAGTAATATCTGATTGGTAATATTAGAAGTGAAATATTATCGAAAGAGTATTTAACTATCCCTATTAAATATGATTTGCAATACATTTTCTGGGAATATGGTTATTATACAATATACTTTAAAAAGATCCATTCATTACAAATTTGAATAATTCTTTTTAATTCATAAATCGGTAATGAACTTTTCGTCACTACAAATCTCTTTCTGTTTTAGAAGCTCCATCTTAGTACGAAATATCACTAACATTCTTAAAAAAAATTGAAATTCTTTTAATAAATTAAAGTTTACTTCCTAATTGAAGTACTGAGATATAATCTCGTGTTTTTGAGGCAAAAATATTTCAATTTGACTTTAAAGAATAAATTATAATTTCTTAATATAATTTCTTATAATTTTTTTTCCGATTGTGTATGGGATTTTTATAATGCAGCATCAACCCAAACAAAGTTGGGATGATAACCAGTCTATTATACACGATAGAAGCTGGTTTTATAATGCAGCATCAACCCAAACTATTTTATAACTTGGGTGATTTTAAACCCAGAGCTATACCTCCTGGGGTTTTCAATTTTTAAATATCAATCATCAATTATTAAATATCAATCATCATTTGTTAAATATCAATCATCAATTATTAAATATCAATTTTTTGCATCCGATCACACGTTTGATTTAATATGTGTATTGGAATCCAAGCTCATAATCGAGCATGATTTGATGAACGCATTCACCAACTAAATTGCAGATATTGCATATTTCATCCCGAAATTGACCTTTTGTAAACTTCATTTCCGAAGTACGGATTTCGATTTCTGGTTTGTTCTGATTGTATCTTATAAAGATACACGTAGTGGGAATTTCTGTTGGATAAAAATTCTGTTCTCTAAACGCGGAATTGACAGCCTTTTTGATCTTTTTAACAAGCCATTCTTTACTGAAATGATATTTCTTCATTGCTTCGAAGATTTGTATTTCTTCATAATTTGGGTGATAATTGTCCTGATATCCCATGAGAAATTTAAGATTTCAGTCAAACTTGAGCTCATTGTGTCACTTTTTGACTAGAAATTTTTGGTAACATAAAACCTTTATTTTAAATTGTCTAGTACGGAGAATTCTCGTGAAATGATAAAAATTTGAAATTTCCCCTTCAATTTGATGGAAAATTTTTCCAGCATTTGCCCAAAAATTGAGGCGAAGCCTCAATTTTTGGGCAAATGCTGAAATTACTTTAATTCAATGTTGTGTGATTTCTTGAAAAATATGTTACCTCACTTCAATTGAAAATTTTGCGGTTTGGTGAACTGATTCATTCAAATTGCGTGAAATGAAGTAACATATTTTTTCGACATACAATTTTCCTCTCAAAAAACTTAAGATGAAGTAAAAAAATATTACAGTACAATATATACTGAGTAAGATTTTTAAAATAATTTTTCCGTAATTTTGTATAGTTTACAAATAAAAAAATTTAAAAAATTATTAAAATTTAGTGTTTAGATTATTTGCAAAATGTTTAGAAATAATTTAGTTAACCGTAAAGAGGTTTGATTCAAAAACTTCAAAATGGAGCGAAACTAAAATGCTGCGGGTACCTTGGAAATTTCCCAGCAATTTGTCTCCAGGACTACAAAAATGAATTAGGAGCCATTGTTAAAAGTCTCCAATGCATCATTTGAGACTCCAGTTAACAATCAATATTCATCTCCATACAAAGCTACCAAAATTATTTCATTTTTAGAATACATGGAGAGTAGCACCTTTTGCTACTCATATCCAAGGAGAATAACACCTTGCATTTAACTAAACACTTAATTTTATTAATTTTTTAAATTTTTTTATTACTTGTAAACTATTCAAAATTAGGAAAATGTTTTTTCAAGTTTCCCTCAAAATTGAATAGAAAGTATTTGATTATAACTGAGTCAAATTTTTACTTTTTCAATATCCCTGAGATCAAAAATTTGATTATAAATGAGTCAAAATTTAGCATTTGTCCATCATAGTATTACCATTATAAAGGCTCTTTGATATCCTATACTTCCATATCAGTGTTGGTCTCTATTGTATTTCAAATAGTTCTATAATTTGAAAAAATTTTTCCATATTGAGTTGTAAAAGTAAGAAATTGAGTGTATATTGTTACACATAGCTGATTTTATTGGAGTATTCGAAAGAGCCTACATATATAACATATCAGAGAGAAAAAAAAATATTACTCGATTTTGGACGCTTCACGCCAATAGGATCGTAACTAAAAAAGAAGCCGTTGCGTGAAATTGGAAATAGCCAATCTCTTTAAAATCATTGCTATAAAGAACATATTTCAGAATTGCGAATTGCAGTAATTCGAAAATAATAGAAATCGTTTTCAGATATTCCTTCTGAATATATGAAAAACTTCTATGTGGTAATGTTTCCTATAAAAATTTGCACAAATGAAGTTGATATGAAAAATATGGAAGCCATAAATGATATTCAGCAAAATGATGAATCATAATAATAACTGTAAATGAAAAATGATTTGGATTTATCAAAACATAAATTCCTTTACTCAACACTATTGCGCAGTCAGTTGTTTCTACGATGTACCTTTGTAAATATTGCATTAAATATCTTCTTATCAATCGCAGAGAACTGTATATATGATAAATCTTGAATTGATAATACCCTAACGTGTTTTGAATAAACCTTTGCTAAATTGCGATTGAAAACTTGATGATATTTCATGCAATGTTTTGCAATGAAGGTCATAGCTTCGAGAGGAGTCTCGAAGTTGTAATCATTTTTATGTCTATCAAATGGGATGAAAGGTATTTTATCGGTTGTATACTCGAACTTTGGGATATTTAAACTCAATGTTGGAGGTGGCTCAAGAGAAACAGGAGTGATTGGAGTCATAGTTTGAACCATAGACTGTGTAAACACCGGAGCTTGGGGATACATAAATTGGTATGGATATGTTGTGTGGGTGTACATTTAAAAGTTAAAGTTGATTTGATACCAAAAAATTCAAAGAAGTAAACAAATTAATTGAATTTGTACTGATTTGTCACTTTTCCGAAATATTTTCTTCAAATTTTTGGACATCCAGTGATGTGAATCTATTCGGATATTTATGCAATTCAATTTTATTTTCATTTTTGATAAAAATTGAATAGATGCTGAAACTCAATTTCATAGAACTGGTTGAAACATCAGAAATGAATTCTATCGGTAAAATGTCAAAATTCGGAATTTTACAACAAAAAATTCAAAAAAAAATAACGAGAAAAAATAGAATAATGCCTTGTTTTAATAATTTTATGCTATAAAATCAGATGGTTATTAATGACATCATTGGAATGAGCAGGAAAAAAGTAATTTAAGGGTTAGATTGATCAATCGACAGACTAAAAGCTCATGTTCTGAATCGTAAACTTTTCGAAAAGTATCCACATATTAAAGTGAATACAAACATAAAATGCAAAATTGATTAAATCATAATTAATAGTGGATATTGGGTTATAAGTAATTAAATTAGAAATCAAGAAGTTGGCATGAAAGAAATAGCATTTAATTATAAAGCTAAATTATATTGGGAATGTTGTAAAGAATAAGAAGATATTTGGATATCATGAATAACGTAATATGGAAAATACATGAATAATGAATGAAAATTTAATATTGATGATAGATGGTATTGCTACAGCAAAGGTTAAAAAATATTTTAATAAAACAGTTTGAGTTTATTGGTTTTTAGTTTTAACATATAGCTAAATAAATGTGTTGGGGCTGTAGCATAATGGCATTGCGTGAGACTCCAGATCTCAAGGTTGGGGGTTCGACTCCCTTCGGCCTCAAATTTTTTTCGTATATTATTATAAAAAATTCGATTTTGATAATTTTTGATTTATTTCATATTCTTATTCTATCAGATCTACATTATTTCTAAAAATTTTGTATGAACACATCTTTTTGTGAGCTAAATTGAATATTTCAATCAAAAATTTTGATTTACTAATTATTATTGAAGTTATTTGTGAGCATATAATTAATTAAATATAAATTTAAAATAAAAGTACTTTGAAACCGAACACCTGTCATCCGGTTAAATTTCAAAATATCAGAATAAGCTCTAATTTACCGCATAGCCTGCCTTTGTTTCATATATCTTATCTATAGTTTATCAAATCAAGAATGTACGAATCTCTCGATCAAAACAAAAATCCGTTCTAAAAGAAAAATGATATGAATCAAACAAGGAATGTATCTGAAATGTTTATTCCGTATTGTGGTTCTGTAAAGCCGGAAAATCGCGAAACCGGGATTCAAAGATTGCAAAAAAATACAATTTCGAACCGATGATCAAAGAGGGATTAAAGAAGATATAAATCCTAACTAAAACCAAAATTTCAAAACAAAAAATTTATAAGTGTTCATAAGATAGAGACGATCACATTGATTCAAAACACCCATCACATTTCGCTGTCACTTTTGAGATTGAAATGGGTTTTTACACAGAAAAAAATTTTTTGTTGATGAAATGCGTATAGCCATATCTACTATAAGTATAATGCCAATCGGTCATAAAAATGTCCACTCTTTGTAAGTTTTCTCCGCTTTTATTGGAGAACTTTTTTTTCGAGTTAACAATTAGCCCTCAAAATTGAATGCTCAGCGGCTTTCAATGATCACTTCACATTCATGCTTTCAGCATCATCAAACTTTGCCCGTAACTTCAACATCCTTGAATGGCAATCCAAGGAAATCTGCGCCAAATTCAACGTTGCCGCTGGTATCAACGTTGTTGCCCGCACACCAGAAGAGGCTGCTGCTGCATTCAAGAAGATCGGTCTTCCAGCCGCCGTCATCAAGGCTCAGGTCTACTGTGGTGGCCGTGGCAAGGGCCACTGGAAAGAGACAGGCTTCAAGTCCGGCGTTCACTTCGTAAAGTCCGCTGATGAAGCCGCCAAGATTGCTAAGGAGATGCTTGGCCACCACCTTGTTACAAAGCAGACAGGCAAGGACGGCCTTCTCTGCCAGGCTGTCATGCTCTCTGACCCAGTCGAAGTCAAGCGCGAACTCTACTTCGCTATCCTTCTCGACCGCCAGACACAGTCCCCAGTCGTCATCGCCTCAACAGAGGGTGGTGTCGAAATCGAAGAAGTCGCTGCCAAGCACCCAGAGAAGATCCACAAGTTCGTTCTTGATGGTGTCCAGGGCATCACAGAGGAAGTTGCCCAGACAATTTCCAAGAAGCTCGGCCTTACAGGCAAGGCTTACGAGAACGGTGTTGAGGAAATGCAGAAGCTTTGGAAGCTCTTCGTTGGCTCCGATGCTACACAGGTCGAAGTTAACCCACTCGCCGAGACAACAGATGGCCGCATCATCACAGTCGACTCCAAGTTCAACTTCGATGACTCCGCTCACTACCGCCAGAAGCAGATCTTCGGCTATCGTGACCTCAAGCAAGTCAACCCATTCGAAATCCGCGCTGAGAAGTACGGTCTTAACTACGTCCCACTCGATGGTAACGTCGCTTGCCTCGTTAACGGTGCTGGCCTTGCTATGGCTACAATGGATGTCATCAAACTTGCCGGTGGTGATCCAGCTAACTTCCTCGATCTCGGTGGTGCTGCTTCTGAGGCTGCCGTTACAGAGGGCTTCACAATCATCTCATCTCAGTCACACGTAAAGGCTATCCTCGTCAACATCTTCGGTGGTATCGTCCGCTGCGACATGGTCGCTGCTGGTGTCATCGCCGCCTTCAAGAAGGTTGGCCTCAAGGTCCCACTCGTTGTCCGTCTCGAGGGTACAAACGTCGATGCTGGTAAGAAGCTCCTCCGCGAATCCGGTCTCCCAATCATCCCAGCTGACAACCTTACAGACGCTGGTATCAAGGCTGTCAAGGCTGCTAACGGTGAAAAGCTCTAAAGAATTTTGCTCATTTAATTAATTTCACATAAATTCTAAAGTCATGACTTCTTTTTTAAATCTACAATCAACTTTTGTTTTTTTATTTATCAATTTCAAATTCGAATTTGTTTTTTTTTTGTCTCCTTATTTCTTGTTAGATTTTGATTTCTTTTCATCAGTCTTCTTTAGTTGTCTATGAATTGGCCACTTCCTACAACAAAAATATTACAAAATAAAATATCATAAATGATTTCATTGAAAATGGATCAGATTTCGTTTTTAATCCGTGTTTGCATCTGAGATTTCAAAAAACCACAATGGTATTTTATGAAATATTTCGATTGCTTGGAAATGGAACATTATTTTGTTGAATTATTGCTCTTTGAGCTATTATAGAAGGATTTGTGTTTCAAAATTTTTTCGAAATTATGAATTACATCTTTAATTTAATAGGAATTGAAGATCATTTTTTAGTATTCGAACTTTTTTTGGAAATTATTTTTGTTTAAATAGTTTTTTCTCAATATCTACTAATATTTATGTAATAACAAATAATAGAAAAGAATATATTTTATGTATAAAATAATAGTTCCTTGAATTTATTTAGCATTTTATGATTTTATTATTGACTAAATATATTTTGTCATGAATTGCTAATTGGCGAGAAATGTCACCTTTTACACATAGTAGTCATCCATGTTCTGCTATAAATTGATCATTTTTTGGTTAAATATTCTATTGCTGATTCACAGGAGAGGCAAATCCGAAACTCTTCTCTAAATCGATAATTTATCCAATAAATATTTGCATTTTCTCATATCTTGAATTAATTTTTCATTATTTTTCATTGGCAATGGATCTCCGCTTTCACATTACCATTAGCAATTCTTATCGATCACATTAAACAAAGAAACAATAGCCAAAAAATTCTTTTACACATTAATTGATGATTAACTCCTCGTAATTGTTTATTTCTCAAATATATCTTAAAATTCTTCGATTAATCAAAAAATTCTCATTGGAAAATAGAATGTAGAGCTAGTTATACAATATTTACTAGGGAAACTCGAACATTACTAATAATTTCTTAAAAAATCAAGTATTTTCACATAGATTTCTGCTAATTATGTTTTTCCTTTCATAACTTAATTGTTTACAGTTCTAATGGTCAGCAAAACCACATATGAATACTAAATAAATATATATTATTTTCTTTCACACATAATTAATATGTGTTTATCTCTCAACACCTTGTGTGATACCGATTTGATTCCCGACCGTTCATTTTTCCTTACATATATTAATCAATACAGTTATTAAGGCTTAAAATATGCTTGTATGAATCATAATATACTATTTTTTTACAAATTTTAAGAAATATCTTTAACTACCAGGAATTCTGATTCTATTTGCCACATATGTAAATATATCGTATTTTGAAACATCTCTTTGAAACTCTGAGTGCACATACTTGATTGACTGTAGGTATTAATAAGTTTAAATATCTTTTTAAATACGAATTATCTAACAAAGATCTCCTAATATTAAATGTTCTGAAAATCAGATGTAGATTAGCTCCAAAACACAAATTATTATGGACAATACATTATTTCTTATTAGAAAACTATTTTATATAAGACTACTCACTGGAGTATTTGAAAGGTTGAATTGTTTTTGAGATCATCAAATGATATGCAGGGGATTATTTATTATCATTATCGCTACAAGTTCTGGGTTTTAGAGTTACTTTTACCAAGTTCATTGGTGGAATGTTATTATAATAACAGACTTTGTTTCAAGTTGCAATGCATATAAATAATACTCATAATACGTGCTATTTAAATCATTTTTAGGCCTTTTGAATATCGTAAAAAAATATTGGCAATAAGTTAATAGAGTCCGAAAGAACTGCAATTGGTATGAAATGAGATAATACTGATAATAACCTTAGATGTGTAATGGGTTAAATAATCAGATGTAATGTTTGAGCAAGGGATGAGTGAGGCAAAAGATCATTACAAATGTGACAAAATTCAATGAGAAATTATCCATTTCGAATGTGATGAACTCATTGTGATAAATCAAATTATACCTATTCCATAAATTACTCTCAAAACAATTGATAGCATAAAATATTCAAAATACGATTACAAATATAAAAATAATATATTGGTTATTTCATTAAAATATCTATATTTTTTAACTGTATTTAATTGTTGATTTGAGAGAAAATTTCACTAATTTATTCTCTCAAATGAAAAACACGCATTTACAACATGAAGGAACTACTTGTCTCCATATAACAACCTATTTTTTAGAGTTTGGATAGTTGATCGCACGATAAAACATTTCTCTTGATTGATATCGGAATTTTTCTCTCTAAATAATTAATGAAGATTATTTCTCATAGGCTGTTAATACGATTTAATAAAATATAAAATGCCGATATTTTTTCTTCTATTAGCAATATTGGTTTCAATTACCGTGCTGAATTTTTGTGAGAAATAAAACGTTATTCAGAAAAATGAGTCCCAAAACACTGCCCTCCTAATATATACTCAAATTTATTATAAATATTTCTAATTTCCGAAGAAAATTAACAGATATGTATTCAAATCAAAACAGCTGGAAACCAGTTATTAAAATAGAAATATCAAAAAATAATACCCGGCTAACGATGCTCTCAATTCTTTAATTTTTTAAATGGATTCTGGATTCGGTGATCCATCATTATCTAGTACCCAACTCCGTCAGAAGGCATTCACTGTCATCAAAAACAGTGACAGGCCGATGGCAAGTTGCGAAATCGAAAAATGGATTCGCAACAATGATTATGATCTCTGGTGTAAAGTCTCCAGTAAGTGCAAAGATTATGTTCGTGTAATCTTGAGCCAGACAAGAGGCAAAACAATTACCAAGTTCAAAGCATTGAAGCCAATTCCCGGAATTGACAAGCGTTCCACTTTCTATGGTATCTATGGAAGGTCCTATCCTTCAGATTCCTGGGCTGCGACATCAGATAACATTCGTTCAAAGAGCAGAAAACACGATGATGATGCCTATGACGAAGAGATGAATTTCTCCAATTCTAAAGAAGAATCCTCACAATCTAGTGATGAATCCTCTGAATCATCACCTAAGATTATGGCTATTCCAATTCATGAGTCTCCAAAGCCGGTAGAAAGGAGAGACAGAAAACTTCTTCCTCCTCTGCCACCATTCAGACTGCTTTGCGGACCAAATCCCATCTTCCCTTCCTTCATCACAAACAATCCAATCCTTTTCAACCTTGTTTAAGCTCTTTTAACCTTCGACATTTTTTATCAATTTCTCTATCTCTTGTTTAATTAAACATTCATTTGTTCGTGGCTAGTGTTAAATAACTACATTTTTCATCAATGCACCCTTAACCTAAGTTTTGAACCGAGAATTTAACTAATGTATTACTTGTTTCGTCGTCATAGTTTCAACATTAAGTAATCTTGTTTCTTATCATATAAATCGCTTGATTTTATACTAATCATCATCGATGACAATGAAAAAAATAGGAAATCATAAAATTCCCAAAACTTCAAAATTTTATTGAGTATCAGATGTATATTAAATCTCTAGGATTTCGTAAAATTCAAAAGTAATTCTGCAACACTTCTCAATTTATTTTAACTTTTCAATAATTAATGGTTCATATACTCATCTCATTATATATATTAATATTTCATGCTCGTACGCATAAATCAAATCGTTAACCGCATATGTGTATTCAATTTATTAAAATTTTTCTGACACCAATTGCCAACTCTAATAGAACATCGATTGTTAATAAATTTTTAAAATTTCAATTTTTTTATATTTTTTATGGCTGTTATAGACCGAAAATAGATTTTTTCGGTTTTCTCTTCAAATAATTGAAAGAATGATACTATTATAGGTTTATTATAATATATAGCATATAATCATGCTATAGCCGAAAATTATAAGTTTTGAGAAGATTGAATATAACACAAATAAATTTGAATGTAAGTTAAATTGCTTGTTGTTTTTAATATCTATTTAATGAGAAATCCAATATTGCAAAATTCAAATTGAATGATTGAAAGAACAGAAAAAGTCATTCTTTTCAATTTCGAATATGTTTCATTGTATTTATAATTATATGGCAAATAAGATATTTAAACTTGATTTTTGAAGGAAAATTCACAAAATTGAATAAATTCAAATAATTTTTATTCAAAAATAAACTAGTTATTTGAGTTTAATACTAATTTTCTATTCAAACTACAAAGTTTGTAATTTAAAATATTTTGTGAGATCAGATTGAATTAATTCAAGGTTCTTTTCAATTAATATTAATGACCATATTACGCATTTTCGAACATTCTAAACCAAATATATAAAATGGGAGACGAATGTTAAATTTGCTAGACATGGGGGAGTTGTCTGCAAAGTTTTAGCTCTTATCTCTAACAAAAAATTAATTTTTAAAAAAATGACCGAATACGTTTCACAGCGAGAAAAAAATAAAAGGCAAGATAGAATTTTCTAGACATAAAGAAGTTGTTTACCGAGTTTTAGCTCTTATCTCTAACAAAAAATTAATTTTTAAAAAATGACCGAATACGTTTCACAGCGAGAAAAAAATAAAAGGCAAGATAGAATTTTCTAGACATAAAGAAGTTGTTTACCGAGTTTTAGCTCTTATCTCTAACAAAAAATTAATTTTTAAAAAAATGACCGAATACGTTTCACAGCGAGAAAAAATAAAAGGCAAGATAGAATTTTCTAGACATAAAGAAGTTGTTTACCGAGTTTTAGCTCTTATCTCTAACAAAAAATTAATTTTTAAAAAAATGACCGAATACGTTTCACAGCGAGAAAAAAATAAAACTGTACACTTATTTTAATTTTCATTTCCAGTCACTTTACTTATTATATTTTCTTTTTTTCATTTTAATTATAAATTATTTCATAATGCGTTTATTTACGTTACCATTTTCTTTATTCTTTTGAATTCCATACTAGACACTTATAGAATATTTTGATTGTTAACGTACTTCATTAGAATGAATCCTTACAAAGGGTATGTCGATCGAATTTACCTAATTGGTATTTCCAATCAGATTGAAGAAGGTAAAATGACATGGGAAGAAGCTTGCACCCATGTTCCCATCGCCCCAACCCTTCAATCAAATGATTTCAAATATTTAGATGTTTCAAAATCTTTTTTACAAAATCAATTTAGCTTACAGAATATCCCATTGCCTAAAGGCAAGAAGGGTCGTATGGTCAATCCCTACGACCAAATCAAAGCTCTTGCTGTGATACATGACCACTGGGTCTTTCCCTGTGGTCAAACAAAACAATGGAAACGTTTGAAATTACAACAAATTGATGTATCTTATAGAGAAGTACGCAGAAGTTAGTATACATATCATGTGTACGGTGGCACTGCGCGTCACCTTACCCCTGATATGTGAATTTGACACTTTACGAAACCGTTAACGTATATTTTACAACACAAACGACAACACTAACTTAACCTTAAATATTTACAAAACCACCACCCACTTCACCTCACTAATGAAAAAATAAACGTTTTCACAAACGACTTCACTACTGTAAAAATAAACGTTCTCACTTACAAAAGTATTGCAACTCTTCCCATTGCTGTGCTTCACACAATAGTTCATATTCTTCAGTATCGCTGCTGTCACTCCAATCGTCAGAGTCAAAATCACTGTCAAAATAAATGTTAGTAAGTTTTGACAAAGCTAATGAAACACGTTTACCGTTTGTATCTATTGCTTTTATATATCTCCCATTATGTTTGTTGTCATAAACGCTCAAACTAACTTTACCCTTTCTCCCTCGTATCTGATAGAATGTATTTTCACGAGGAACGAAGAACAAATTCTTGAACTCATGACCGTTGTAGTTTGTTATCTCAATAGTTTTCGTCATTTACATAAAAATAAAATAAAAAATAAATGATATCACCACCCTCACACGTATGAAAACATAGCGCAAAAATAAATTTAGGTGAAGCGGTGAGATCTCACCTCTTTTTTCACCTGTTTTTTCACCCTAGCCGCAAAGCGGCTCTGACCCTTTGGGTCTGTTGAATTCATTGCTTTATAACTCTCTTCCTTTCTCCAACTCTTCTAACTTCTTCCTAAGTTCAGCAATGTTGTCCTCATGAAGTTTAATCTTTCTCAAAATTCCTTCTTTATCTAATGGTTGCTTTATCTTTCTAAACTGAACTCTACCATCCTTCATAGTATGAATGTAAAAACCTTCTGGAATAGTTCCTGATTTAATGTATTCTACCAAAAACTTTTGTTTCATTGCTTCAGTGACTTTAGTCGTCATTTCAATCAAATAAAAATTTTAATATTAAATAAAAATAACGTTATTTTTTTAGTAAGGAAACGCAGGAGTTTTACGATTTATTTGAGGAGTAGGTTCTGGTTTAAATGTTGGAGTCGGTTTAGGAGTTGACTTTTGAACAGGAGTTTGTACTTCCATAGGTTCAGGAGTCATTGAAGGTTTTGCTTGTGAAGGTGTTGGAGTTTGTTTAACTTCAGCTACTTCAGTATTATTTACAACATTTGCTTTATTTCTTTTCAACATCATAACTGCTCCTGCTGTAGCTAGCAAACCTAGTGGGAGACCATATCTTATATAGGGACTTGACCAAATGCTATTTTTGACAGGAGCTGGTGGAACACCTAACCTTGGTGAGACTGCTCTTTGCCATTGTGCAGCTCGTAAGAAATATTCAATAGGTGCTCCATAATCGTTTGGTAAAGTTTGTTTCATAGATGGTGAAGGTTCGCGAGAGCTTGATGAAGAACTCATTTATAAGCTTTAAAAATAAACGTTCATCCTTTATTCCTCACTGTCGTCCGTGGCTAAGTTATAGTCATCTAATCTTATTATGGGGATGCCTGACTGTCTTACCTGAATGGCAAAGCAACAATCCCTCATAAATCCAATAAGTGGCTTTGGTACGTTTTCAGTTGCTAGTTCAATAGGTCCTTTAACAGACAATTTGTATGTTATTGGAGCAGTAGATGTTTGACCTTGCTGGAAGCAAAAGTCCACTTCTGTTGGAAAACCACATAAGAAATGTGTGTTGTCATAGCTATCCCATTTATGTTCCACACTACCATCATCCACCAATGACCTCATAACATCTTCATTAAATCCTATCATATCATTGTTTGTATTGCAAGCGTTCGCAACCATTTCATAAAATACAGGTCCATATGATTTTTCAGGTTCTGCAGGCATATTTCCATAAGCTCCCATGGAAAGCTGAAGATATTTAAACTTAGGGTTCTCAAAATTAACATAATAGTTGTCTTTCTTTCTAAATAGTGCCCAAATACTTTTAACATTAATAGGCGTATAAGCTGCTGTAAATGTTGCACTTGAACTATCTGTATTTTTTGAGAATGAACCATCCATAGGAATCCAATCCATAACTTTAACAGGAAAACATAAAGCCTCGTTTGTATAATGTTCTACAAGTTCTGTATAAATGTTAGGGTCTAAAGAGAATGACTTTGGATGAATGAAACATTCATTAAAATCCATCTTTGTTCGAAATAGTTGCTGGGTTACAGTTGTAATAGTAACTGTTCCACTAGCTTCTACTGCCTTCGTTATCATAGTGAATGGTTCATTCCATGGAACAAATTTATTTGTCGGTGGATTTGAATCTGAAGCAAATGCAACTTTAAGAGTTGGATTGAAAGCAATGATATCATTTACAGATATAGATGTGCATTGTAAGGCGTCGCTACTGAACTTTACTTTAAGCTGAATGTTTCCTGCAAAAGTTGGAATAAATCTTATAGCTTCTAATGGTAAAAACTTTCTAACAGGAATTCTTAACGAAGCTTAAAATCAAATGATTTTCCTGCTGTAATTGGACCACTAACAATTTGTCCTGTTCTGCATGTTCCCGAATGACTCCATACATCTTCATGTCGAGTCTTTGAGAAAACATCTACTTTCTTTATTTGTTCGGTAGTTTGTGAGTTTGAAGTTATATATGCTTCTTCTCTTGCGTTGTCTTGAGAATATACGATACGACCATTTGCAAGGATTTGATATCCAGCAACTGCATAGAAAGCGTCATCGAAACCAATCCAAAATCCTGGTGGGTTTGTTTTATTGGAACCTGAACCAATTTCTTTATCTACAATAAATTGACCTTCCATTTTATACGTAATGAATGTATTGTAAAGGTCCAACATATTTTCACCAGGAGGTGAGAGATTGAATGTTACCCATGTGTTATCTTTAGCAGTTCCAGTTGTGATGGAATCTTTGCGTCAGAATATTTTCTATTAGTGTCACCAATTTGAACTGCATTGTCTATGATATCGACATATGAGCGAATCTGATGAATATGCCTCTGCTGGAGTAAATTCGTTTAACTGTTCGTTCTGCATGTATTTACTTCGGATAAAAATATCTATTTACTTCATTATTCTCACTCTTCTTCTTGGCATTCGTGGTGGAAGTTGTTTCTTGACATTTTCAATGAACTGTACATTCTCTTTTGTCTCAACTTCTTTCACTGGCGGGTCAGGGTTCTTTGACTCGGTTTGTTTTTCAATGAAATTCACGAACTTTGCAATAAGCTCTTGGTTCGTTATGAAAGTACATCTGGCTTCTTTTCTTCTGGTTCTATTGACTTTTCAGTTTGAACAGAAGGCTTAACATGGGCTTCGTGGGCTTCGCCCTTGCCATGCACCTTAATGTTGTCGCTTTCTGCATTCGCTAATGGAACCTTTCTTTTTCTTACGTATATTTTACCATCTTTACTCTGACTTACGTAATAGAAAGGATGTTGTATTCCTCTGGCGTCATTTAATATAATAGACTCTCGCTCTGATTTTGACAAGCTCATTTTACATCGGTTAAAGTTTAATTTTGTTTTTTATCTGCAGTCAAATGACTCAGACAAGCCCTACGGACAAGACCCAAGGGGTCATAGATGTTGAAGCATGAAGAAAGAAATTCGCGAGCAAATTTTATCCGAACTGAAGGAACAAAAACAAGAACAAAAGCCAGAGAGACCAAAGAGAAAACTTAGTGAAAAACAACTTGCTGCATTAGCTGCTGGAAGACAAAAGAACCCACGTTTGCTGGCGAAGAAAGCTAGAGAAGAAGCTGAAGCAAAAGCTAAAGAGCTGAAGCAAAGAAAGAGTAAATGGTTTATTTTTATCCGAATTAAATGTATAGACAAATACCTTTAACTGTTGCGTTTCAGTAGTGAAAACCCTGACGTCAAAATAAAGGGGAACAGAGTAACGTTTAAGTTTCCAACAGACTGGATTGTGAACATAAATGAAGAGAAGTACATTGGCATAACATCTATGTATATAACACGTTGCTTTCAGAAAGGTTGACTTTATACTTCAAGTCGAGATAAGAAAATGACGAACAGTCTTTAAGCGCCCAAAACATTCACATATACAAATACTTTAAAGACGATACAACACATTGTTGCAATATTTCATTTAATGAAAGTTCGAGAAAAAGTTTAACATTGAAGTACAAACTTTACAGCCTTTACGTGAGTTTCTTGCACAACTGAAGGAAGAAGGTAGTCGGCCACAACTTATAGACTTTCATTATGAATTAATGAAAATGAAGATGGAACTCATGACTGTAAGTTTGTTATATATTCACCATTCAATGAAGTAGCTAAAGAGAAAGAAAATCCATTACGTATAAGATTTCAAATCTCTGAACCAAATGATGACTTCAAGAATGTTTTCAATTATGATGCAATGCTTCCGAGGAAAAATGAATTTTCAAAGATTGTAACACCTGGCATTTGGGATAGAAAGCAAGCTATATTATATTCAAACTTAAGTAAGGGAGTTGAAAATGAGTTCATTGGTCATACAAGAATTCACCACTTCCTAACCTAAATAATATAATTAACTGGCTTCAATCGTGAGTTTTGGATAGACATGTTCTCCACTCATGACCATAACTGCCCAGTGTTCTTACCTCCAGACCATAAGGACTGTCTCTAATTGAAGCACAACTCTTAAACTCTACCATCGCAGTATTGTAAATGACCACATGGGCTTCGCCCTTCCGCTAGCGGCTTATTTTTATCACGAATGCCTCATTGCTGACAAAAATAAATGACCTCAGAACTTCAACTACGAATAAATCTTGTTTTAGTCGTTATTGAGAAGTTAAACTTTTCAGCAAAGCAAGGTTAGAATGACTTACATAAGTCAAATCCAATCTCTTGACCATCATGAGTGCTTTGTAAAGTTTCATTAAACTGAACTCAGAGTCTTTGTCATATGTTCCAACAGGTATGTGAATGTTCTTATTCTCATTGTAATAGCATTGTATAGCTTCAGGAAACATTTCATTTGCTGTTAAAGCAAGGACGTCTTGTTTGACACCTTGCAACGTGCATGAAATGCAACTTCATTTAAATCATTCGTGAGTAAGTCTATGTAAGCTTCTTTCCACAAAATATTGACTTGTATGCTAACTTTGTTTTCCAGGTGTTATTTCTGCGAAGTCAGAATGAATTGACCAAGGTTCTTTCCTATAAGTTGCGACCGTATCTCTTCTTAAACTCTGCTGCAAGCTTTGTATGTCTTCATTGAAAATATGCATGCTATCACAGTCCTGGTAAAATATTTGAAGTCCATATCTTCAGCAGTACAGAATACTTCACACATTATTCTCTTCGACATAGACAGAATATTAACACCAAGGGACAGAAGTTAAAGTGTCTGCAAATACTTTCGTTAGCTTGAAAATAGTTTTATCTGAACCATCCAAACCTTCGAACTTCACTATATGGTTGTAGTTTCTGATGCATATA